AAAAGCACCATCTAAGAGTTTCATTCCAAAATCAGAATCTGAAAAATAGCCTCTTGGTAGCCCTCTGATGAAACCTATCCAAATAAAGACCTTTGGTTTTGCATGGGCTCACCAAGCTTTTATGGGACTTTACAAATGGCACGCTTCCCTCAAACAGGCCTGTTTCTTTAGCTGGGCTCAAGTCAGGCTCTGCTCATTTTCTTTTGTGTCCCCGTCTGATGCCACCTTCCCATCCAGAAAAGTCAAGTGGTTACAGAATCAGCCCCTGATCCTACGTATTGGTCTGTGGGGTACAGATCATAGTCATGAAGTATTTATTTTCTTGGGGTTTAAAAAAAAGTTGCCCCTATTCCCTCTCTCATGAATGACTGTGAACGTAGCAAACTGACACAAAAAAATAGATTGCCCTCTCCGGGGTTTTTTTCCTTGTAGTCGTTTGTTTTATGGTCATGCTTTGATGATGACGTTGCTGCAGCAATGAGTGAATCTGAATGTCTTGACTATCTTGTCCATAGGTGAATGTCCTATACTCCATAATTCCCAGCCAGTAAGCCAGCTTCCTTCCTTGAGACCTGAACATCATCACTACCCAACAATCGATGAGCCTCTTCCACCAAGTAAGCTTTAGTTTTTAAAGTCTATGTCTTAATTCTTCCTATCAAGTCTAAACAGGTCAGTATGAACTTGTATGTACACATCCAAACTCTTCCCCAACTCCACACCTTACACTGTTATAAAAAAAAAAAATTATATATATATATATACACATATGGCACCTACTATAAAAATGGGGTGTTTTTGACTAGTGATTTCAGTGTGTGATCTTGAAGAGATAGTCCAGTAACCTTCCAGTGCCCCTCAACTTCTGAAACAGAAGGTATTACTTTACGAGACTTGCCTACCTTGCAAACTGTACATGACCTTTAAGTCCTAAATTTTACTATTTTATATTTAGGAGTTCATAGGGCAAGATGGAATAATCCTGTTGTTCTCCATTGGACCTGTTATATCACAGGCACCTCCATATAATAAAACATTCAACCCATCAGGACGCAAGGACTTGCGCTTTCCTTGCTATAACTTCCATTAATAGGTGACAGCCTATTTCTTCCATTGTTTCTTAGGAGCTTCCAGAAAAAAAAAATACCATCCTTAGGGATGGTATTCCATATCATATTCTCCTGGTAACTGTGTAACTAATTATTATTTAACTAGTCATTTGAACTTGGGAAAATCGTTTAATATCTCAGAGACTCAGTTTTCTTATTTGTAAAGTAAAGCCTTAATTTTCTCATTAGCTAAATGGCTAGATCTGGACTAGGTAATCCCTAGATATCATTCCAGCCTTAACCTTATAATACTACATTATAAGACATTTCTAAGAAGGAACTGATACCCTGGACATTATACATTCACTTAGCATCATGTATGTTCATGAATAATTCTAGAACATCTCTGTTTTGGCTTAGGCTTATTTTTCAAGCAAAGATAACCTTTAAGATTTAATAAATTTTACAACTGCAAAATCTTGCCAGGATGCAAGGAATCGATGTTTCTTTACATTCTTTTGCCTGTGCTTACATTAGGAGGTTACAGTTTAAAAAAAAACAAACAAACAAACAAAAAAAAAAAACTTATTCCCTAATTCATCTATTCTTGGTAATGTGATATATTTTGCATTTACACCATTCTTGTCCTATTCAGTTGTAATTTATCAGTGAGAAAACAATAAATACCTTTAATATGTAAACATTTGAAACAACACCATATTTGTTTTGGGGGATCAAGGCAAACATTATGTTCTTTAACTTTTGATACCTGATTTCTTTCTTTATTTACACCTTGATTTATGGATGGTCCACAAATGACTAGTAAAATTTCAGTGTCACTATACTTTCTACTTAGCACTTATGTAAAAAAATATCTATAACACGTTCTCTCCAGGAAAGGAACACTTTCCCCACAACAAGAAAACCTATCAATTCCTGTGTGCATGAATTGACTTCCAGTCCATGCAAGAGTAATAACTAGTTATGCATCCAGACCTTGTAAAGAATTGAATATAAGTCTATTTTAAAGACGTACTTTATACAAGCTGTTTTCAATAATGAAAACAAATTTCTCCAGTTGGGTTTCAATTCTCTGTTCCTTACACACTGAAAAATATGACAAAAGTTGGTACTGAAGCCTAACAACAGAATTTTCTTGATAGTCATTCATTCAACAAATACTCATTGAATGCTGGCCCTGTGAAGCACTGTTTTAGGTAAACGAAACAGACAAAGATCCCAGCCCTCATGGAGCATCCAGTGTAGCCAGGCAGAGACCAACACATAATAAAAAGAGTGAACAAGGCAACAGTGTAACACTTTAGATGGTAGGAAGTGCTGTGCGGAAGAACAGGCAGAATAGGGCAAGGGGGATTTGGAGGATGTGGTGGCGGCTGGTTCACCATTTTAAATCGGGTGGTCAGGTAAGCTTCATTGAGAGGCAACATTTGAAGCTAGGCTTCGAGGCGGTAAGAGGGTTATTCATGCGGAGGAAGAGCTTTTTGAGAAAAGAACAGCCCGCCTGGTGGGTTTGAGGAACAGCCGGGAGACCAGTGTGTCTGGAGCAAGCAGACAGCAGTGGCTGGTAAGGTCAGGGAGATCCCAGGGACCCAGATCACACAGGGCCCTGTAGACCACTTAAGAGCTTCGGCTCCTACTCTGGATGAAAGGGGAACCTTTTAGGTTTAGAGCAGAGAAGTGACATTCTCTGACTTAGGTTTTGATGGTAAGAAGTGCAATGAGGAAGCACAGGCATTAAAGTTTGAGGAGGAAGGACAGAAGCATGAAACCCAACATATGGTTATTGCTGTGGCCCAGGTGAAAGGCAGAGGTGGCCAGGGCCGGGGTGGGAGCAGTGGATGTGGTGAGGGGCAGTCGCATTCTAGACATATATTCCATACGTAGGTTTGCTGACAGATTAGATGTGATGTCTGAGACAGAGGTAGGAATCAAGAATGATCTCAAGAATTTTAACCTCCAGAAGGATGGAGTTGCCTTCAACGGGGATGGGAAGGGAAGGCTGCAGAGAGAGCACGTTTGGGTGGGAAAGAGCTGAAGCTTGATTCTGACCATGTTATATTGGAGATGTCATCTAGGTAGTGATGTCAAGAAGGCAACAGGATGTGTGGCTGAAGTTCAAGAGAAAGGTCTAGACTACAAACATGGTATTGCATTTGTTAAAGTAAAAAGAGAAAGGGGGGAATAATTTTATAGGCTTTTGTTAGTATAATAACTAAAGATGATACATGGTTGGGCTCGACAGTGTTCCTAGACTTCATGGAAAAGATATAATTTTATATTTGCTAGGTCTTTCAGGCAGAAATGAATTACCCTAACTTACCCCAGCATCATAAAGGTGATCACTGGCAAGAATCTGTCTAGGCAACACCGTGCCACGTCCATGAGGACATGCTGAGGCCTGAAGTTCTATTTGAAAATTCTTTCTTTACACAAATATGTGAAAGTGAATTCTTTACAGAGCAACCCAGAAAACATGCTTATAATCTCTAAGTACACTTAGCTATTACTTTCTGAATATTTATAAGAATTTAGCATTATGCATTTATAATTAGCACTATTAGATATTTAATAATATTGATAGAAGGGCCTGTCTGGCTGGCTTGCCATCCTTTTCCATGAGAGACTTGGAAATATGGAAACTTGTAGAGAAATTGTTATTACCACTGCACTGCACCATTCTCTAGTGTTTTCCTTGGAGAATTTATGAGACTGGAGCTGTGTCTTTCTTTGAAGGAGTCCTTCCTTCACTGTGGGAACCTGGAGGGTGGGGGCATCAGTTTCTCAGCGGTGTGCCCATGGGACCAGGCATAGTTTTTTGTTCATAGGGAGTGCTGAGAGCAGTTTGTTCAACTGAACTAGATACCACAATACTCTTCAAAGATTAATGTTCATTCTTTGTTGAATGACAGTCATGTTGAGTTCAAGAAAAAAAAATTGTCCAGTTTCTCCTAGTTGGGGAATCACTGAAATTTCAAAATTTTTGGACCAAGATTAATTACCTAGTAGTTACACGTATACACAGTTTCATCAGTGAGCTATTTAACATTTACAACTAACAGTTGAGCTGGATTATCTAGCAGTCAATTTTCATTAACACCCTCTAGAATATATTTATACGATCTGACGACATTTTTCCTTCAGTTTGTCTTAGGCAAGGTAGATTTGGTGTGTTCTGGTATTTTGGTTTCCATCGTGCATTATTTGGCAATTCCTCAGATAAATACCAGACTTAAGCAATGATCTTCACAAACAGATGTACCATGCACACATAAAACCATAAATATACCAAATATATTGGGTTTTTTCCATTTAAAAAAATTGAGAGTTGCTATGTCATTACCTGAATGATAATTTTTCAATAGAATTATTAATATCTGACCTACTCCCAAAAGCTATGGATTTTCTTAAAAGGCTGAATAGTTTTCCTCCATTTGCAGTCATTTTTGCTTTTTCTTCTTTAGTCTAATGCATTTTTCAGCATAACTTTATCATGAAGCTGTTATTTCCACCAAGTTTTCACATTTGGACTCTAAAAGCTTTTTGCCCATTGCTATATAGCAGACATTGCTCTTCTGTGTGAAGCTCAGATATTTGTGTATTACATCCAGCTCTCCCAGTTTTGAGGACTTTTCCACCCACCCCACCCCACCCCTCCATGTATTATGTAGTGTATCATCCATGCTCCCACATTTAGTTCCTTGGTTTTGGAATCTGAGAAGTAAAGGAACTTATCTTTGTCTTGGGCTCCCTCTACTGGTCTGTGATGGTTATTTATCAACAAAGAGGTATTTAAAGCTTGATGTGTGTTAACTAGTTGATATTTAAAGGCTTGATGCGTGTTAATAGTTGTTACTGGTTTTGTTTTGTTTTGTCAAGAGATATTTGGCAGCCACAGGTGGGTTGAAAATACACTGTGAACTTACAGCTTACCCAAAGGATGGTTCGAAGGGATCCAATCCTTCCATTCTTCCTCAAGAAGAATGGCAATCAATTAAAGTTGCAAAGTATTGCATAGAGGTCATCTGAAGTTCCAGGTACAGTATCTTAGAACTGTCATTACAAGTGGTTTTAATATGAGGGCCATCCTCCCCTCACCGACTAGTCGCTGTCTCTCAGATTTAGCAAAGAAAGGGTTCTCCAGCCTCAGTCTGTCAGTTCTCACTGGAGGCTGCTTAAGTCTTCCAGCTGTAATTTGAGTTGCCAACAAGATTGACAGGGTGGAAACTGTTAAAGGAAGAAATAAAGTAAGCATCAGACTTCCTCCTTAGAAAATAGGGAGAATTGTAACCTAGGTCATATTCGAGGAACCACAGTTACTGTTTAAGAGAAGCTGAGTCCAGTGGATGCCAATTCAGCCCTAGTACCTCAGAAGTCGTGGTGGGTGCTGTGGGCAGCGTCTGGCCTTCAGCAAGGAACCCACAGTGAGTTCTACCTGCAGAAGACCTGGCAGCGGTATTGGTTTCCCATGAATCCGTAGTTTGTCCTTGATTTTCCTTTTTGCCTTTTTATTACACGCCAGACTGGGAAGCTCGCATTGACAGCCATGGGCGGGTCTTTTACGTGGACCACGTGAACCGCACTACCACCTGGCAGTGTCCAACATCAGCAGCTGCCCCTGATGGGATGCGGAGGTCGGGGTCCATCCAGCAGATGGAGCAACTCAACAGGCGGTGGGTGATCAGCATGCAGTGAACCCCTGGGAACCCCTGGGAAAGGAGCATGGCAGCCAGAGAAAACCTCCCTTACACTTTTCTGCTCAGATTGTACGAGGAGCCTGGGAAGTGATTATGTATCTTAAGAAACCCATTTATAGTAGATACTTGGAAAGCTAGAGTTAGAATTTGGTGGCAGGAGACAAACTAAGCCTGAGTGCCATTTATTTTTTTTTTTAAGATTTTATTTATTTATTTGAGAGAGAGATAGCGAGAGCAGTAACACAAGCAGGGGGAATGGGAGAGGGAGAAGCAGGCTTCTTGCCGAGCAGGGAGCCCGATGTGGGACTCGATCCCAGGATCCTGGGATCATGACCTGAGCAGAAGGTAGATGCCTAACGACTGAGCCACCCAATCCTCTGAGCTTCTTGATGGCATGTGCTCAAAGACAGGTGTTCTTAACCAGGGGCCCCTGGACCACCCTCCTCCCCAGGTATTCACCGAGGATGCCATTGTTCCAGGAACCCTCCAGAAATTGTATGCAAAATTATACATGGATGCACATTTTTCTGTCAGACTGGTCCATATCGGTCATGAGATTCTCAAAAGGGCCCAGAACTCAAACAGCTGAAAACATTCCAAGGATGGATTCCATAGAATACCAAAAGCTGCCTGGAGAAAAAAACAGTGTCATCACTGTATTCGTGTCTACCCTGGTCCCCTAATTGCTATATACTCAGTAATCCCTAAAAGGCTTTTATCCTAGAAAAAAAAAAAAAAGTTTAAAAACAGTTTTTGAGACTTGTTTTGTCTAAAAACTAGACCCTTACTAGTGAAATTGTAAAGATGCCATTTTGTTTTTAACCTGAGAATGAGACCCTAAATACCATTTCTCTCATGCTGTAAGCTAGCATGAGCATCATACCCGACCTCTTGCTTCTGTTAAGGCCAAGAGGGCAGATTTGGGATACTTTCAGTAGCCGGGACCACAAACTGCAGGCTTGAAATCAGCTGTATCCACATGCCATCTCATTAGGATGAAATAAAGGAAAGTTGAAAGGAACTATATAGAATAAGGAACTGGAAGTTAACTGTATCAGCCAGAAAAATAAAGTGGACAATTTAGTCCTATGAAAAACACACAGAGGTGAAAAATTGAACTTCTGGTTACTGTTGTACACAGAGGAGCATGCTTAGGTGAAAATCACCAGGATTCTTTTATTGCTTGAGCATTTGGAAGACATTCACTTTCCATTCTTTCTCCATCAGGAGCCGAGCGTTTAAAGTCATTAATGAGAACCACGAAGGATTTTCATTGGCAGTACATTTCTCTACAGTCATTCCCACAGAAAGAAAACACATTACAGAACTTGTGATAACCCAGCTTTATTAGATAAGAATGCACCAAAAATCCCCAGGAGAGCCCTTTCATGGTGATTGCAACAAAACTCCTCTAAATAAAAATGTGGAGGACTCGGGGCGCCTGGGTGGCTCAGTTGGTTAAGCGACTGCCTTTGGCTCAGGTCACGATCCTGGAGAACTGGGATCGAGTCCCGCATCGGGCTTCCTGCTCAGCAGGGAGTCTGCTTCTCCCTCTGACCCTCCTCCCTCTCATGCTCTCTCTCTCTATCTCATTCTCTCTCTCAAATAAATAAAATCTTTAAAAAAAAAAAATGTGGAGGACTCAGCAAGCTCCTTTTACATAGTGACCAGATTGAGATTCCATAGGCGGAAATAGAACAGAGAAGCTGAACTTGTTTAGCAGGCTGAGAAATAGGGAGAGTATCATCACCAGGCTGCATCTATGGGAGGTACAGCTCGAGCACTAAAAGAAATCAATAAATTGAAGCAGAAGTAAGCACCTTGACCTAGGACATAAAAATCCATGAAGGTTCATCATGTTCAGGTTGTATAATATAAAAATTAGGCCAAATCCATCTTGAATCAGGCCTCTAGAGGAGTTTTGCAGGCTTTCATGTGTAAATTCCTGTGCCCTCCTGTGGAGCTGACTGGCAGAGGCAGCCAGACTTTGTAGAACAGAAAGTGGTATTTGCTGCATCCGTCTGGACGGATAAAAAGAAAGGGAATTTGGTGACTTGAGAAAGTACTTACTTCTCGTGAAAAAAACCTACTTAGGGAAGGCCAGATAGCCTTGAGATAAGTATCCCAGCTCTTCAGCACTTAACCAAATAGTTCAAGCATGTAAAGTTTTGCAGGGACTTGGCCTGATAAGGCAGCCACAGAAAAGTATACTGCCCATCTTTTCTCCCTCACGGATGTGATCACTCACGGGGGTCGTTTTTCGATAACCTTCGGTTGGTTATCAGAAGGAATTTACAGCAATCACTCTCTCACAGCAAAACAAATATTTCTCAGTGTTGCAAGGTGTAGGGAAGGAAAACCTTCCTTCCTTCCCTTCTAAGTTCTTTGGCTGACTTAACAATTAAATCGACATATGTAAGATTAATAGGAGAAAAGCAAATTTAATTCCGTAGGTATGGAAGCTTACAGAAATATGAGACTCAAAGAAATGACCAAAAGCAGGCAGCTTTTATACCTGTCAGACAAAGAAACGTGTGTGTGTGTGTGTGTGTGTGTGTGTGTGTGTGTGTGTGTGTGAAGAATTGACAAGACAAACAAGTTTGGGCTTGGGGTAGTAAATTAGTAAAGAGGAACAAGGTTTGTTTACACAGCCTTCTTGACCCTGATTCCCTATCCCTGGTGATAAGAATGACTACCAGCCTCCAGGTGCAGAAAGAGTACCCTTCACATGGGGAATTCACTTACTGCCTTCCGGAGAACAGAGGAGGGTCAGAGTGTCCTGCATTGGTGGTTTCTTAAGTAACTTTAATTCAAAATAATCAACATGCCAAAATGGCATATTTTGGGGTGGCCTGCCCTGGACCCCATCAAAGGAGTTTCCCTGGACTCCCGACAGCGTGATTATGAAAGTCAAGTGTTGTTTGTGCAAGGAGACGCACACGGGGAGAAGCAGAGTGCACAAAGCAGCCTACGGTGACCACATTCAAACTCGGCCACTGCCCGGACGCAGCACCCCCTTCCCGGCCTTTATGGCTTGACCACGTCCTCCTAGTGCAGAGACGCCCCTCACTGCCTGCCTGCCACGTGGTCACATCTCCTTTCTGCTAAGCCCATGAGAATGTCCTGTGGTCCCTGAAATCCTCCCAGAACCCCCCCACACAGAGCCTCTTGTGCAATCCTGTGATTGAAACCTTCTGCCTTGTCCTTCTGGGTGCCCTTCCCAGTGCCTGGTGTGGTGCCAGAGTCTACCAGGACTCAGTGTAAGACAGTTTCTCCAGTTAATTCTTACACTTCCAGAATATTCTGGATTAACTCAATTCACCTTCACAGGTATTTCTTGAACAAGCAGAAAATATAAATAGGTAGTCTCACTTTAAATAATCAACTAAAGTTTGGTGTTTTTAGTTATTTGGATAAAATGTTTATATTATTGAGACATGGAAAGTTTTAAATATGAAAAAAAAAATGATGTATATATAATTCTACTACCCCAGGGTTTACCTTTTAAAAAAATCTTGTCTTTAATTTCCGTGTACATGCGTAGGCCTTGCATAGCTGTGATGATAATATACGGTTAGTTTTATATTCTCTTCTCACTTACCACACTATAAGCATTTTCATATTGCTGCAGAGCCTTAGAGTATCATTTAAATGGCTGTATAGTATTCCAAGGAACACATGTACTTTAGTTAACTTAATTTGCCCTATTGCTGGATGTTTTCCTTATTGCTTTCCGGCACTATTTTGGATAAGGCTAAAGGCCCTGTTAAATATTAGTGTTATCTCATAGTAGTGTTTCCTTGGGGTTATATTCTCAAAAGAGCAGGCCACGGGAGATCACTATGGTTTTGGTATTTGATATCTATGCCTAATGTTTTCTAAAGTGTTTCTGGGGGCTCACTCTGCCAGCAACAACAGCTTCCCTTCCATCCCATCTTTTGGTGTGGTTTTGTTGACTTAAGAGGTGCTCCTTGGTATTTTGGTTCTTACATTTCACTTCTCACAGGGAGGGTCAACTTTTGTCTCCATAAGCTTTTCTTTTACCAATTGTAGCTCCTCCCGTGAGAATTGTATGGTCTTGGGCTTTGTTTGGTTGGTATTTGTTTGGTTTGGCTCGATCGGTTTGGAAGGTTATTTTCTTGCTGGGTTTTGTGTGTTCCTGTGTGTGTATTCATTTATAAATTAGATATTCCAGCTGACTTTCTTACCAATTTCCATAAACTCTTTATATAACATAAAATTTGGCCTTTTTCCGGGAAAAAAAAAAAAAACATGAAGGAGGACATGGAAGAATAATTCTTGATGAAATGTGAGAGAACCTGCTTTCTGACTTCCTCTCTCATCTTTAAAACAGAGCGAGCATCTGAGGCTGCGATCCTGCCCTCGCTGAGTGATCCTTCCACAAACTGTGTGTCCTGCTTCCCCAGAACTGTCCCTGCACTTCAGCAAAGATCAGGGTTGGGGTGTGGTACCTGGGATTTGAGGCCGTTGACTCAGTAAGGCACAAGACAACCAAAGTCCAACTGAGGACACAGCAGGTTGTGAAATTACTGACACTTTCATCATCAAATAAGATCACATTGATTCATAGAAAATCTCTTCTGTGGTCCCTGCACTTTGGGAAGGAAAAGTGAGGCTACAGCTTTATATTTGTCTGTGCCCTGTTCTGGGTATCTACTGCGGAGAAACAAACCACCCAAACTTGGTGGCATAAAACAATGATAATTTATTGCTACCATCATTGTTATTATATATCATTTTTATTTCTCATGGTTCTCGAGGCTGACTGGGTTCAGTGAAAACATTCTCTCTTGGGGCCCTGTCGTGTCGTTGCAGAGGGTGGCTGGGGCTGGTGACCCACATATCTGGAGGTTGATCCTGGCTGTGACTCTCCGCCAGAACACCTGCCCGGGACTTCCCATGTGGCCTCACAGCATGGTGACTGCAAACTGTCACTTATATTATCCTCAATTAGTCAAGGTAGCCACAAGATCTTCCCAGGCTCAAGGGGAGGGGACATTGATTCTACCGCTTAATAGATGAGTAATTAGGTTCTAACAGAGCATGCGGGCCTAAAAATATTGTTGAGCCATTTTTGGAAAACGCAGCCTGCCATGAATCATTTAGGGGATCCTCCCGACAGCAGCAACCTTGGTCTTCGGCAATTCCATTCCTCCCCCGGTCAAGGTTAGACACTTAGGCAGCTTCTCGCTGGCCCACTCTCTCCCTCCCACCGTGGTGGCACTCCCCGAGTTCCAACAGGGAGAACAGGAGACAGCCATCCTTCACCTTCCCCACAACCTCCAGACCACAGACATGTTGACACGGTAAATAAACATGGGTATTTCTCTATATGATCCTTTGCCCTTCCTGCCCCCTCCATGTTTTCTTATTAGAGGCCTTCTCTGGAATGCCTTACAGTAACTGCTGCAGGCAAAGATGTCTCGTGACGCGTGTCAGGGGTGAGTGGCTGAGCCTCTCTAGATAAAATACAACTTAAAGAAAGCAACCAGTGATTCTTCAACCTAGATGGAAGTAACACTACCTGAAGGACTTCTTAGAAACGCAGGTTTCCGTTTTGCTTCAATTTCTGTGATTATAACAATAACCCAGCTGATTCTCTTGCAAGTGGTCTAGAGACCACACTTGAGAGAAAAAAAAAGAACATTCCCTTTTAAGGTACAAAGAAAAAGGTCTCTGGTGTTCAGAAGCCCTGCCACAGCAGACCTCGTCTGTAATGATATGTTCCCGTTGCCCCATGTTGGACTGCATTTGGAGACCTGGTTCTTCGCTGCTCCCTGGACTCCCACTCTCCTCTTCCTCTTCACACCTCTTCCTCCACCCCTGTATCTCTTTCCAGAGCATGGGACTCATACAGCAAAGTTCCTTTGCCTGTTGTCACTTGCATGAAATCAACGACCTCCAAGTCAGCATGTCCTAACCCACACCAAAATCTTCCCTCCCCTCCTGCCTGTTCTCCTACGTGTCCTTTTTCAGTGTTGGCTCCTTCACTTACCCTTCACAGTTGTCTCCTCCTTCAACCTCCACATCCAGACAGGCCCCAAGTCCTGTTGAGTCTCCATGTAAAATTACACAAATTCTTCCGCGAAGTCTTTCTGGAATTCACCTCCTTCTCCCATTCCTGCTGTGCCTTGAGGAAAAGGGAAGCTGAAGCCCGGTCATATGCCTCGGTAGGCTGAGACATTAGGCAAAATAGAGGTCATTTGGGGAGGAGAAGGAGGCTATTTGGACTGAGGGAAGTAGAGCAAAGAGGAAGGACACAGCTGGGCATCTGCCTTTAAAATACAGACTAAATTAGGCAGATCAGGCCATCAGAGGTAGGGAGGGTTAGGAAATGTCTGTCTTTTGTGGGCAGAGACAGAAGATCTTACTCTCCCTGCAGTCTTCCCCTCCCCCAACAGCATGCTTGCAGAGCCACCATGATCCGCCATGTCTGCCTGTGCCCAGGCCTTTAGCACCTGCAGCCTGGACTGTTGCAGTGGCTGGTTCCCAACTGCTCTCCCCAATTCATGCTCTCCTCCTCCAGTGCATCCCCCACCTAGATGGAAGTCATCATTCTCAGTGGCTAGCTCAACCTCTTTTTCAGCAACTAGCCAGTCCCTAGAGCAGTGGTTCTCAAAGTTGGTCCCTGGACCAGCAGCATCAACATCAGCTGGGAACTAGTTAGAAATGCAGATTCTTGCCTCCTCCCTCCAAAGACCTACTGAATCCAAGAAAATCTGGGAGTGGGGCCCAGCTGTCTCTGTTTCAACAAGGCTGCAGGTGATTCTGCTGCAGCTCAAGCTGGAGAACCCATGCCTAGAGAATAACATCCAAACTGTGGCCGGGGTACCCTGTCCGTGCTCCCTGCCCCCCTCTCTGCTGGCCCCCTCGTGCTGCCCGAGGCCCACACATCCTGGTGCCACCACCCAGCTTCTCAAAGGTCCCCAAGAGTGAGCTCTTCGGTGCATGTTACTCTACATTCTTTCCCTGCAAGGGCCCCAACAGGTTCGTACTGATTCAAAATGTATGCATCTGGGTGTTTCCTCGTCTGTGTCTTACGCTTCGGGACAGCTTTTTGACACTGTTAGAGTGAATGGCTTACATGCCATTTCCCTCTTTGCTCTGCATCCACTGTGTGTGTTCAGAGGGTGATAGCTTATCCTCCTCCTGACTCCGATCTGAAAGTCCAGCACAGAACCTGAACATATTGGAGGAGTTACTAAATATTTAGTAAGTACCTGGGAAGGTGACTGACTGGCCGGCTGACTGGCTGAATCCTCAACTGGGGAAGAAAAATAAAATGAGCCTTCAAATCAGCAGAAAACATTTGTCTGTCGGCCAGCATGCTTTTAGTATGCAGTATTTCCACAGTTCCTGCCAGGGATATCAGTTACCTATCAGATAACAGTAAGTGAGTAGAACCATTACTCTGGTTTGTAGACTCATTACAATAATGTAGAAGTAATTTGATATCTTAGTTGTAACATTTTAAGTTATTTCCCAAACCGTTATTTTTAGACTTAGTCTGGTTTTGTTTAATGCAGGGCGGAGGCTGTTTTTTGTGACTAGTTATCTGTGTTAATGTGTAAAAGTCACCATACTTGAAACTTAGCACAGTTTACAGAACAAAAAGAAGTCCACTCATCTGGAACATGCGTGTCTTGCCAATTGTTTTGGTATCTTATGGGAACTTTAAGCATTTCTTTGCTGATATGCAAGACAATTCTTTACAGTTTTCTCCAGTTACCCGATTCAGAGCATCAGCCCCCAACAAGCCAATAAGCAGAAGTTAACTCCTGTCTTTCCATTTTCTGATGCAAAGGTATCAAAATATTCAGCGAACCATTGCAACAGAGAGGCCTGAAGAAGATTCTGGCAGCCAAAGTGGTGAGCAGATCCTGGCAGGAGGAAGCGGAGGAGGTGGTGGGAGCGACTCAGAGGCTGAATCTTCTCAGTCGAGCTTAGGTATGGCAGGAGGGGACCTGAGTCTTCTGGGATGGCATCTGGTGGCAGTGTGACATAGTGTGTGCACCCCTACCCTGGTTTGGGGGATGCACTGGGTCCTGGGGGAGAAGAGCAATGGAATGGGGGAGGTCAGTCAGGGTGGCCGGGAAAGAGGCTTGGTGCCAGCAAGGTGAAACAGACAGGAGTTTCCCACCACAAACATAAAGAAGAAATGAATTTGCAGTAGGAGAACTCGTCCTGGTGCATCGAGGCAATTTCTTCAGTGGCCTGATCATTTCTTGTCGAGTGAATTTATCTGTTGGTGTCCTAAGAATTTTCCACTTATAAATAAAACATGCAATGAAAATTCACAGTCTACTTCAAAGAAGCTACATGACAAGACTAGGAATAATTATTTTTTGCATTTGGAATAAAATACAATTCCCCCTTGTGGGAGCAACCTGGGAGTAACGAGGTTTTTCCCCTGAGCTTACCTTATGCACTCTGCCCCTGAGCCTGGTTACCTAAGAGTGTAGGCCAGGCATCCACCAGGGGTCTGCTTTTCATTTCGTTGAATCTGCCTGAGTGGAACTCAGATGAGAACATTCAAAAGGCAGAGAAGAGTGGCTTCAGTTTTTTATACCTGTGATCACCTAAGGTTATCACAGCGATATCCCAATCCACCTTCTCTCTCTCTCTCTCTTTTTTTAAAGATTTTATTTATTTATTTGACAGGGAGAGACACAGCGAGAGAGGGAACATAAGCAGGGGGAGTGGAAGAGGGAGAAGCAGGCTTCCCGCGGAGCAGGGAGCCCGATGTGGGACTCGATCCCAGGACCCTGGGATCATGACCTGAGCCGAAGGCAGACGCTCAACGACTGAGTCACCTAGGTGCCCCCCAATCCACCTTCTCTTAAGTTGGATTGAATGATGGCACGTTAGAAGCTCGGGGACCAGTGGGAGCGAGCAGTTCTGCCTCCAGTTCAGCTAGTTCTCCATTCCTTGCTACACCGCAGAACAATGGATTTTCGTGCACAGACGATTGTAAGTGCATCCCTTCTATTCATTTTACCAGATACGCTAGCTACACGGACTGGTTTCGGTTTTTCTATTTATTCATTGCTTTGACCTCTGAGAGAGATGTGGTCAAGTGGTCAAGTTTAAAGGCAAGAAGAGGGGCACCTGGGTGGCTCAGTCATTAAGCGTCTGCCTTCAGCTCAGGTTATGGTCCCAGGGTCCTGGGATCGAGTTCCACATCGGGCTCCTTGCTCAGCGGGAAGCCAGCTTCTCCCTCTCCCACTCCCCCTGCTTGTGCTCCCTCTCTTGCTGTGTCTCTCTCTGTCAAATAAATAAATAAAATCTTTTTAAAAAAATAAAAAATAAAGGCAAGAGGAAAGAAGGAACAGAAAATGTCTGAGTTTGGTATTGGACCTCTTTGCATTTGCTATGTAACAAACTATCCCAAAATGTAGCAGCCTTGTGTTTATCCTACAGGTGAGCAATTGCATTTGCTACGGGGCTCACGCATGTGTCCTTAGTCAGCTACCCAGTCAGCTGAGGGCCGGCTGGCCTGAGATGGCCTCAGCTGGGCTGCCTTGTGCCTGCTTCCCGTAGCTTCTCATCTTGTCCCAGACTAGCCCAAGCTTGTTCTCACAGTGGTGGCAGGGTTCTAAGAGAGAGTGAGGACACAAAGACTTCTTGAAACCCTGGCGTACAAGTTCTGCCAAGTCCTGTTACTTAAAGCAAGGCACAGGCTAGCTCAATTCAACAAGGGGAGAAATGCAGAGTCTCCGGCAGATGGGTGTGGATGCAGGGAGGGGAAGAATTGTGCTTCTTTCTGCAAACAACCATAACCATGCTTGGCAACTCATAAGGAAAATAAGAAAACCATCATTGTAAGAAAAGAGACAAGATGTACCTCTGAAACAAATAATACATTATATGTTAAAAAAAAAAAAAAGATAGTAGGAAGGGAAAAAATGAAGGGGGGAACATCGGAGGGAGAGACGAACCATGAGAGACTATGGACTCTGAGAAACAAACTGAGGGTTCTAGAGGGGACGGGAGTGGGGGGAATGGGTTAGCCTGGTGGTGGGTATTAAGGAGGGCACGTATTGAATGGAGCACTGGGTGTTACACGCAAACAATGAATCATGGAACACTACATCAAAAACTAACGATGTAATGTATGGTGATTAACATAACATAATAAAATTTTTTAAAAATAAAAAAAAAAAAAGAAAACCTCGGGAAGGAACTACTAACTACATCACTTCCCCCAGAAATTTCTAGTGTACATTATTAAAGGTTTTGAGAAGTCCTGGAATAAAGTAATGTTTCACTTTTTAAAAAAAAAGATGTTCGAGGACTTGAGCCTAACTGACGTTACGCAGGAGCGCTCCTAGGAAATAATGACTCTTAACTGGCACACATCACTGGGACACCCGACCAAATCACTATTCAGAACCACGGTCTGTCCAGTCAAAGCTAACACACCGCTGGTATAGAGAGAGAAGTACTGTATTTGAAATGACTTTTTTCCGATGCATCCATTGCTTTGCTTCACTTTTTCCAGATCTGAGGAGAGAAGGGTCACTTTCTCCGGTGAATTCACAAAAAATCACCTTGTTGCTGCAGTCCCCAGCGGTGAAGTTCATCACCAACCCCGAGTTCTTCACTGTACTACACGCCAATTATGTGAGTGCTCCAGAATACAGAGGGAGCCCACCTGGCTTCCGTCAAAACTCAAAACACTCCTTTGAGAACTTGTTTAGTAGGTTAAAAAGGATGGCGTTTTAACCCAAGCAGGATGGAAAAAAACAGAAACAAAACAACTCCGGCCACTCTTTTTACTCTCTGTGGGCCTCCCAAAAAGGGGAAAAGCTGGATTTGGCAATACTGTTGCTTCTTTGTTTTTGTTAGGCGCAAATGTATTAATACCAGTGAAAGTCGTTGGGAAACAGATACGAGTTTCTATTATTGTTAAAATTTTAAAGGAACAAGATTATGAAGTTGACAGATGCCCCTCAGCCTGAGTCATTTTATAAAATCACTTTCATTGAAGAAGTGTTAAAATAGATTTCTCCTAGATAAATATCTAGTTTTCCCTTTAATAAAATTAGTTGTTCAAGTACCATGCTTAAGTTAAATTTAATATTTTTACACATACAGTTTTTATTTCTTTTTTTTTTTTTGTATTTTTAAGAAAGCAATGACTTGCTATCACTATATTCATTAATTCTTTCATTTGACAAACATTTTCTGTGGACAGATACAGATTTAGGTGCTTGAATCACAGAGCCAGTGGGACACCTGAACAGCAAAACTCCCCAATTTGTGGAGCGACAGACATGTACAAAGACCAGTCTGACATGAGAGGACAGGGCCCAACCTCAGGGAGGAACGAAAAGCTCTGGAAACACAGG